TAGCAACGATATTATATGAAATCGAAAAAAATCTTTCTCTCTTCATTCAATTTACAAAAATAGCCAAAAAAAAAGTTATCTTAAAAAAATTTTTTTCTTCAACTCATAATTGCTATCATGTATCATTAGACTTTAACAAATTGTCATAAGAATATACATGACTTCTCGATCGCTATTGAGAATGAGAGGTTCTCGTATGTAAAAAAAGTATTTTGGCACGCAGAATTAAAAAAGAAAAACCCATTGACTCGGTCCTCGAGTGAGAATCGAACTCAAAAATTCAGGGCCTTCCCCTTCACTTGGCCGAACTATTAGGTACCCACTGTGGTATACGTATACTGTTATAATCATTTCGGCACATTCGGGTCAATGAACTCATTTAACGTTCTCCACTTGGATACGAAGTATCCTGGCTCGGCGGCCAGGACGATGGCTTTGCCCTCGCGAGATACTTGCAACACATCTCGATATATATTCGAACTTTTTTTTTCTTCGTCGATTCTTCATTCTCCGTCTCTCTCTATATATATATATCTCTCTCTCTTCCTTGCCATCTTAGGCCGTACCATTGTTACGCAACACAACAGCACTGTCCGTCGAATGTTCATAGATACTTTGACCTCGTATTTTGAATTATCGTGACGTCATAAAGTTTTTTTTTTCAATCCAACAAACGACTATTAGAATCCTACCATATTCATCATACGTGATTTACCTACCCTAACATCGACGACTCTAGTCATATTGTCACGATACCACGTTACGTTCCCCTTACTAAATGGGGTCCTGCTATAATATTCCACCTACGATATATTCTAGCTTGGGAGTCTGGTCCCAGCCCACAATGAATTATGAATATCAGTACAGGCCAGTTCAAGGTCTAATTTCTATCAGGCTCGACACGTGTTGCCAAAATCATGCACCATCATCTGAGGGGCCTTACATGCTTAAGGTAGCAGGCAGCGACCGATGAGCAAATAGCATCGAGCTATGACGTCATAAATCAGACCCAAAGTATCTTGCGCATTGGTATATATATATATATATATGTATTTTTAATTAATTAATTTATTTATTCGTAAAAATCTTCTCTTGTTTAGAACTTCTAAAGAAGTTCAGCGATGAAAAAATTCTTAATAAAAATTTAAGTCCCAAAATTATATAAATAATCCTTAATATACTCAATAAAATGCATAAAAACTATCGCATGTAAATTAAAAGTTTTATCAATAATAACCCACACGTTCTGACACAAATGAAAAAGAATTCGGTTTTACTTTTGGCCAGGCCCAACTGACCGTACTTTGGATCCGTACATGGGGACACAATTTTATGTGTACGTACAGGCACGACATACGTGTCACGTGTATGTATATATATACCCTCGATACTAGCGTTTACATATATGTACAGTTAGTCGAGTGACGTATCTATTCGGTGATTTTTCGGTTTCGAACGTCAGTCCCCTCTCCCTTGTAATATTTAAACCACCATTCAGCATATACATATGAAAAAAAGTACTCAAGAGCTGAAACAAGGTGAGCTGTACCAGATAATACAGATCACGCATTTCGTTTACTAGTTAGGGATTTATAGATCATTAATTAATTTTTTAATATCCAAAGCGTTAGGTATCGGACTCCCATATTATTTACCTACTTCGCCATGGCTCATAGAATCGACTCGGACTCGGTCCAAGTCCAAGTCCAAGTCCAAGCTGACTCCCAAGTGGGACAATGACCGGGAGAGACCTTCTTTCTTCGGGCCGCCGCTATACGAGAGTACGAAGAAGGTAGGAAAGGTACGACGAACGATGGAAAGGAATGGAGTGAGTTTCTTGGGCAGCAAACTCACTTCGCTAATTCACTTGCCCCCTTGCCTTTTTCCGGTTTACATTTTAGCTTTTCCGTTTGGTGCTCCTCTCGGATCGGCTTTATGTACAGTGCACTGTGGGATAATAAGTGTAGCTCGACGTAACTCGATTTCTCAGGTCATATTTATCTCGATTCATCTGAATGTTGTTGGCTATGGTTATCTTTCGCTTTGACTCCTCGTTATCCTTACTTGTGTGTCACTCTATAGATTCTTTTTATATTTTTATTTATGGTATGTTATGGTACCGAAGGGTCTCTTTGAATATCTATAGGATGTTATTACGGGTGATTGTGCTACAGTAGTGATATCGAAATGACAACTAAAGGTGATTTCAAAAATTTATTGATTTGTTTATTTCGATTAACAGATTTATTTGTTAGTTGATTTTTTTCATACGGTTTCGAAGTTTTCTTTGTCTGGTTCGGTTGATCCGAATACAATATTAAATGGTGATAGATACTTTTTTGTGACAGTCGATACTCTTCCTATGGGAAATCCTTGTTGGGAGATAATTAATGTCACTGCCTGAGGAAAAGGTCTATAGAAAATCAATGTGGTACGATGGTTATTACTATGGCGAAAAAGATCATCGACCTGACGATGACAACTGGGTCAGGGCACGTCACCGATTCGCACAGAGGATCTAGCGTACGAGGAATCGACGTCGAGTAATCTCCTCTTGAATAATCCATTCGTCGAAAAGTGAAATTCCGGAGCGAAGGTCGTTTCTTTTAAGTAACTAAATGATCGTTAAAATATTTCGTTGGAAGATGACTTTGAAAAATTCCACGAATAACGGTAATTGGGTACGGTATTAAAAAATTAGGGGACAGAAGGGGACATAGAAGCCAATAAGAATATAAAACACGCAAAACTTCCTAGACCGGAAATCACGGTGAATTATTCCAAAAAGGATAATTCCGAATCTTGATCCAGTCTCCTGGAATTTCCGTCAGCCATTACAGCCAATCCCAATTTTCCATTATCAAACGATTCGCCATTGCTCAGACTTAAAAGCCTTTTAGATGAAATTTCCCGATAAGAATGACGTTTCCGCTTGGGTCTCTTAACGCTCGAGCCAATCGGTCGTTAACACGAAGCGATTGGGCCGGTTCGCAACGATGCCACGTTAATTTCGCAGTGTAGCCTCAACCGGCTGGGACCGATAAAATCAGGCCCCACTCCAACCTGGATTAGACTCTGGCAATGGTAATGGTTCAGGCTATAGATTTTAACAGTCTTGGCAATGGCCGTGGTTCTAAAATCGGTATGAATCGTTCATGGTCCCAGTTGAGTTCATCGACCTTCTGGGCCTGATGCCCAAATGGCTATAGCGGTCACACTCGTTGGCACATCAGCTAAACCAATCGCAACGGCGACAAGTGCTATGGCGATGATGATGATGATGTACCCAGGCAAAACCAAGTCGAACCAAAGTGAAGGGGGTTCCCATTATTGTGACCATGACTCTGACATAGACCATGGACCCGTAAGCCACGCAAGAATCTATATACCGTGTGTCCGCGATACTCGCACAATTTTCTATTACGCTATTAGAGAAATACGAGTAGCTAGCCATAAAGTGAGTCTACCGTATCCACAGGTAGAACAGGCTTGACGCATAACCTCAAAAATTCTAAACAACTGATTAACCAATACTCAAGGTCAACGAACCCTCCAATCAATCGAATAAACATCGCGTCTACAGTCCTCAATAAAAATATACACAACTCCCAAGTAAATTCTTGCCGTAAAAAGAATTTTTAAATTCACAAGATCTATAGATAGTTGTCAGCGGCAGTAGCGTCTCTAGCGTCACCGGCACCACGACGCCTTACCCAGAAATCTTTTCGCACTACCTCGATTCGAAAAATTCTCCAGTATAAACGTCCTATACTCCATTGAAAAATGGTAAAAACTCAATATTCATGCCAGTGCAAACAACGTTATTTAAATGACAAAATATTAAAGTAATCTTAAAAAAAACTTTAAAGAATTATTTTACAGCGATTACTACCTGTTTAAACAGAATCGGCGCATGCCCCCGTGGCACGTCTACAAAATGGGGGTTTGGCGGCACACGTAACCACGGTAATCCATACAAGTAGCAGTAGGAGTATTAGTGGTAGGAGAGGTAGGGACGATGCACGTGAAGAAGGACAGCGAGGACGGCGAGAGAGTAGGAAAACGGAAATGCAAGGTGAAAAAGGATAGGGAACCAAACGAAGGAGAGAGAAAGAGGAAACTATGTAGGAAGTGCAACCGACAAGGATACCATTATCGTCACTTCTCGTTCTCTCGGCTAAGAGACGAGGACAGGGACGCAGATAGGCTTGGAGAGTATGATAAGAGAGACGGGAGTATTCGATGAAGAGAGATGGCGAGACTCTGGCAACGGGTCGATCGAAAGCGCAGCGCAGAGAAATGCACCACCTCTGGCTGCTCTGGTCTGCCAGCCTGCTGGCACAAGCGTGTATGAACGCCTCCTCCACCAATACCAACGACAGGAACGCCGAGCCAAGCCGACTCGTGTTGGGCTAGGTCAGGCCTTCCCGAGTTCTACACTGTGCCATCCGCAAACACACCTCGCGTTTCACCCAATTTCCCGAAAAGATAAAAAAGCTTACGCGATATCAGAACTCCATACCGGAAGACCTTGTGCGAGAGTTGTGATCGGATCGAGAATGACAATCGGTACATATGTATATGTACTGGTGATCGATTTTTCAAGATCACAATTATAGACTGTATAACATAAGTGCTGTACCTACTATCTCGACAGTCCCTGCGGTGATATATTTTTTATTTGTTTCACATCATTCCATGTTCGAATGATCGTTAAGCGGTCTAGACGATTTTTTTTCAGTAATTGACGAATACGATTTTTGTGCTTTTGGTCACGATGGGGCTTGTGTGAATTTTTGGACATTTTTTCATCGCGGTTACTTGGTAACGTCTTTTTCATTTTTTTTGGGTTTACAGCGTTGACTTTGCCGTGACAAAATTTTGAATACTCTTTTTTTTTTAATTATCCTTTTTTGACGTCGGGTTCCTACTGTGCTTCGAGACGGTGCTTTGACGATACGAATTTTCTGAACTGTCGACTTCCTCACGAGGCTGAACTGTTCCTAGAGAGAAAATCAGTGAAGTTCGTTATTTCCTTTGAGAAAAAGAAATTTGAAATTAAAAAAAGGAAAACATAATTTCGATGAAACGAATTTATAAAAAATCTCGATCAGTACTACCGTGAGTCGTTTGCTCAGTGTATGTTGACAATTATTAATAAACAATAAATGAAATCACAACAAAAAATCGTGTACAGTGACTCCCGTTAAATTTACCCTAAAAAAATCACCGACAAGAAAGACAATTTTGATATCGTGCGTGATAAGTAGAAGTCAAAAGGGCAACGATAAAGGACTAGGGTTCTCCAATCCCAAGACGGCGCTCTCATGTCGTGATAATCGATAGTGCTCGAAAGTGGTTCGGCAGTAATCGATCGCACGTCTCGCCCGGATAAATGTCCAAAAAAATCGGCACATCGTTGCACCGGAATCGCGCTGAAGCGCGCGAGACTGGCCGATTAAAAATCGCGAGTTATAAAACAATGACGTACGCCTCGATCTCCTTGAAAAATTACAGGATTACGTAAAAAGATATTTAAAAAAACGGCAAAAGAATTCTCGTGATCGTAGAAGAAACGAAAATTGGATTCTCTATAATAACCGGAAAAAAATCTAGTGATAGCATAAACACGGTGCTGATAAAAATACAAATTAATCGATAGCCAGCAGTCGGGGGACCGAATAAACAAATAAAATTATAATCGTCCAGTGGACAGAACGAACTTGTCTGGCTACGAGGCTCCTCAGCGCTAGTGATCGAACCGAGATCAATGATCTCTTAAACCGAAATCGCACGAACTTGCCCACGAGTCATCTGCGATGACTCGATAGTGATCAGTGTCAAAAGATTCTGGCGTGAGGCCGGTTCCTTTCTCAAGATATAGAGAAACGTAAAAAATCCTCGAAAAATAACTAAAGAGCCTCTTGTAATATATGAAATTTAAATTCAAAGAAATAAGGGTGGTTTTCTCTTCCCTGTCAAATTACAGGAAGAAAAATATACGTAATCACCGTACATGTTTCTTCGACTACTGTACAGTGTGGTGCTGATTAGTTGTAGGGTGTGAATAAGAAAAAGTGTTCAAGGGGGGTGGCTATACGGAAGTGACGCACAATCGGAAAAAAAGGGGGGAGGTGTGAGTTTGTTCAACCCTATTCGTTCCCATTGAAAATTTACGGAGTATTGAAGTGCCGTATTATATATACGTGAAGGTGAGGAAGTGCTGTGTGCAAGGGGGTAGAAAGAAAATCTAGGGGCGAGGGGGGATGGTCTTAGGAGTGTAAATCCTCCATCTCATCCCCTGCAACCGATCAATGCGTGGACGGGTTTCACTTTCGCGGTATTAAAGCGTGCACCACACCGCCGCCATCGCCAAATCGTAAGAGCTACTTCACTTTTCACTGTTGAAGCGATTATTCAAGGGGATGATTTCGTGGAAGCAATTATAATAAATTCAATTGTTATTGACAACTGAAGAATACTTAAAAAAAAAAGCAGCTAACAACGTTTTCAATTTCGGTAAAAAAAAAAAGAAATCCACGCAGACCCATTTTACTAATTGAAAAGTGACACCCCGTAACAACGACTTTAAATAATGGGATAAAATTCAATTGCTTCGCAAGAGGTATATATCACAATTACAACGAAATGTGATCCTCGAAATCATCCTTAAGCTTTCTGTACCAAGTAACTAGAAAATGGTCATTGATCTATTGTGCATTATCATTCGAAGCAGACAAAACGATCGTCTAGTGTCAGTGACATAATTATGGGATATAAGAATGATGAAGGAATTCCTAGGGCCCAAATACGCCCATGTAACATTTACGTCCCACATAACGATTGCACGATTCAGTCAGTCGGTATCGGTACCGTTAGAAATATGAATAGAAACCGAGTTGGAAAAATCGAAAAGTACCGCAATCGGCCCCGTACTAGAAACCCAAGTGGTAAATGGTACTAGTACTACTATATAGTATCTAGTAATACTAGGTAGACTACCTACTGGTAGCAGTACTAGTATACCAGTAAGACGCCCTTCGTAAGAGCGAAGCTGTCTGGTTCTTCATTTTTGTCCATCTTCTTCGACGAAAGTTGAAAGACGCGTCAGTCGCTCGGGTCCATAAAATCTCGTAGTACTCGGACGCTCATAAAATACCTAAAAGAATATATCCATTTTTATCCTTGTACTTTTACCTTTATTTTCATCCTCCTCGTACTCTTCGTATCTCATTTTCCCGTTATACTTGGTTGCAGGGAAGAATGGAGTCGAGCGAGTGGGATCACGCGACCTTGAGGGAGGAGGAATTCGAGCAGCATGCAGTCTACTTGGTACCGGATGTTGCCGCATCGGCGAACGATCCGAATCGAGCTGAGGCGTCCTTACCCAGGAATCTCGTCCTGAAACCCTCCCAGGCACTCAACGATGTACGTTCCTCTACAACAGAATCCTTTCTCGAACCGTCCTTGGTGAGAGTCGCGGCGACAATCGACCAATTCGTATTAAGCATGATCGTTTGGCTGTTGACGGATGAGAAGAAAAAAAAATTACAATATTTTTTATTAATCCGAACAGTATACAATTGGGATATAATTATGTGAAGATAATTTGACCTTGAAAATCGGTTAAATTCAAAATGGCTGAACGATCTTGCCCCTTTGCGTGCTAGCCGATGGGTCGATTCGTTAGCTGTGTTATTCATTGATTAATTAGACGATTGGTAATAATGAGAATTTTTAATAGTAAAATATATCGAATGTAATTTAGAGTTTCAGGAATAATTTTTTATATTAACTTTCTTATTCGATGTCGATTAATTCTAATTTTCATCTCGTTAATGCTCTTTGCGTAGGGATTGGTTTTGATACGCCAACGTATGGTAATAAAGCTGAATGGTAATTTATGTAAAGCAATTAGTCATTTTTACTGGTAAATATTGTCTTTTTCTATATTTCATGTGTATTTATATATTTTTTGTCGCATACGCCTCACGTGCGAACATTTTACTCTGTACGCGAATGCGAACGGTAAGACAGTATCTTATTGCCTTGATGCACTTATGAATACATGGCTGGCATACATCTTTAATCTAATTACATTTTTTAATCATTTTCTTAGTATTATAAAAATCCATTTTTTGCGTAATTCAGGTACTGGGCGTGTGGAGTACTAGTTACATACCTAAAGGGACCCGTTTCGGTCCTTTGGTAGGACACGTTTACACGAAGGATTCAGTACCGGCTGATGCGAATCGAAAATATTTCTGGAGGGTAAGAAAATAGTTATGAAAATTTTTTAATCGACTGTACTCACCACTGTACATGATCACTGATTAATTATACGCCAATAGTCCAATGATGATTAATATAACGATATTGTATACAGGTATACAAAAACAATGAATTGTTCTATTATATTGATGGCTATGACGTACAGAAGTCAAACTGGATGCGATACGTTAATCCAGCTTATTCCTCTGAATCACAAAATCTCATTGCCTGTCAATATAAGGTAAGAAAATCAATTTTTAGAACGTCTATAAACGCAACTCTTCACTATAATTTTCAATGACTTCACATCGCAGATGAACATCTACTTTTACACCATAAAACCGATATTGCCAAATCAAGAATTGCTCGTTTGGTACTGTCGAGAATTTGCGGAAAGGCTCAACTACCCTTTGACTGGCGAATTAATGCTTCAGAGAATAAGTAAGTGAAAACCCATAAAAAAAAATTGTACAAAAATTTTTCAATTTTTATTCACATTTCAATGAGAATAAAATCATACTATAAGTTTTCTAAGACCGACTGTAAAACTTTCAGGACAACAGGTACAACAATCGACGATACCAGCGGAAATACCACCGGTGGTCGAAACGACGCCGCTTAAGGAGTCGAGCATCTACGAGAGGCGTTCCCAGATGACCCCGACAGACGGTTCGGTCAGATCCGACGAGGGTTACCATTCGAATGGCTACCACGACGAGATCCTGACACCGCCGGAAGAGTCCAGCGAATCCGACTCGGAGAACAACTACGTCCTGGACTTCAGTAAGAATGCAAAGACTTCGAGCAACGAGGTCCTGAAGCAGGACAGCGCGGCGAAGAACGAGTACAGAAAGGTGAAGATAAAGATCACGAAGACGTATAACAACTTCACGAAGAACATGGAGAACATTAAGGAGAAGGAGGAGCTGTCGAGCGGGGCTGTCACGCCGGAAATTCAAGTGCAGAAACCCGTATCGCCGATGGTGATTCAGAAGAACACGGTGCTCTCCTCCTCGAACGAGGACGAGATGACTGATAAGAAGCCATTTTACGAATCGGAAGCTAAGGCTACGTCTTTGCCGATACCCGGTGGTAGACCACCGTACTTGACCAATTCCAGTAGCATCCTGGAGAACATACTCCTGCGCAATAATACAGACAGTAACAACAACACCAACAATAATCATTCTGGTAATCACATGAGCCACGTGGACTCAGTAACACCACCACCGTCCAGCCCCACGGAGATGGCCTACTCGTACAAGAAGTCCCACAGGTACGGGAACATCCTACCATGCAGTCCAGACTCCAGCTCGAATCTACCGATGCAAACGGAAGCGTCGAACATCGTGAACTCGACGAGCGGTTTGCTTCCGAGTCCTGGGAATCTGCATTCGAGTTCCGGTTCAATAATTCACTCCAGCTCGGGTAACCTGCACTCGAGCACAGGATCATCCGGTAACCTGGTGCATCCATGCTCGGGAAATCTCCACTCCAGTACCGGTGTCAGTAGCAATACCGGAAGTCTTCACTCCAGTAGTCCTGTTCATATACATTCAAGCAGTCCCGGTAGCAACGTCCTCTCCTCGAGTACAGTCCTCTCCTCCACCAGCGGTCTTCACTCGTCCACACCCGGTGGTCTGCTGAAGCAACGAAAATCAAAAAGTCCATCACCAGCCACCACGATCCTCTATACCAACGCCAGTATCACCCCGATGCCGAGTGACTCCAGTAGTATCTACATGAATGCAAATTCCAGTGTCTCACCTATATCCCCGATACAATCGCCGTCCTACCCGTACAATCTTTATCATCAGAGCAGCACGTTGCACCACAATGCTCCGTTGTCAATTAACACTGCGTACTCGCCGACTCCAACGGGCAATCATCTTTACGATAGGAACGACAGGAGACTGGATTCTCATCAGCTGCCAACTTCCTCGACGATGCAGATGGACAGCAATCAAGCCCTTATCACGGGCACGCACAATCTTCACCTGGGACATCATCCGGGACTTACGATTACCAATGCCTCTATAAACAGATACTCACCAGCCAGTTCATTGTCACCGGACGATCATGGCTGCTCGCAAAGTGGTTCCCTGAGTCCCAACTCTCAAGGGTCAAGAGGTTACCGCTCTCTTCCGTATCCACTGAAGAAAAAGGACGGGAAGATGCATTACGAGTGTAACGTGTGCTGTAAGACATTTGGTCAGCTGTCCAATCTCAAGGTTCATCTCAGGACCCATTCCGGCGAGAGGCCCTTCAAGTGTAACGTCTGTACCAAGAGCTTTACGCAACTGGCCCATCTTCAGAAGCATCATCTCGTGCACACAGGTAAGTCACTGGGATATAGTCGAAGCTTTTACTTGAATCGAATTGTCATCGGAATAATTATTTATTAATTACAGGCGAGAAGCCACATCAGTGCGAGATATGCAAGAAGAGGTTCAGCTCCACTTCGAATCTCAAGACTCACCTGAGACTTCACTCTGGTCAGAAACCCTACGCCTGTGACCTCTGTCCGGCCAAGTTTACGCAGTTTGTACATCTGAAGTTGCACAAGAGGCTGCACACGAACGAGAGGCCCTACACGTGTCAAGGATGCGACAAAAAGTACATAAGCGCCAGTGGGCTCAGGACGCACTGGAAAACCACCAGCTGCAGACCCAATAATATTGAGGATGAACTCGCATTGGCTGCCGCAGTTGGTTCGCCGACCTACTACGAATACGGTCCGGACATGAATGTCGGTAAGTGTCGGATTTAATAATTTTATATGAGATTGGTAGAAAAATTTATCAAGGTCAATTAAGTCATAAGCTATTCTTCGTATCCATTTACAGCCAATATGCCGAAGGAATGCGAGCTGGAGCACATTGAGAATTATGAAAGGCGCAACGGGTCGGCGCATGGTCCGCACTCGACGTCACTTCACAATCTCGAAAATCCTGTCGCTCGACCGAGCGTCATAGAAACGTCACAGCCACACATTATCGAGTGTACTTAAGGGCTCGAGACTCTGGCTTTCTAACGCCCTACAGCCTGAATCGTTGAACTGACAATTGGGCGCAAGATCCTTTGGAACTTATTCGTGTAGCTGCTTGGACGATAAACTATTTTATCGGATCCTCGACTTTACGTGCAATTTCAGAAAGTTATTTAATTAGCTCCTAAATAATAAACAAGGAATCTTGTTTCTTATTGTTAATGTTTCACGATTTTCATGGCGGGAGCGATGCGCGAGGAGGACTGTGTCTCGTGATAAAGAACGGATGAAGGGAAGAAGAGAGAGAGAGAGAGAGAGAGAGAGAGAGAGAGAGAGAAGAAAGAGAGAGAGAAAAGAAAAGAAATATTCTTTCTCGTGCTCGGTGCATTATTTTATTTTTATTTTTCTCTTCGTTTATTCCTATCATAAGGATGAACTCTGATACAGAAAGAGAGACTCTCCTCGCGCATGACACATCGTCTCTAGCTGCGAAGTGAAACGCGGGCGAATTAAGAGGAAAGAGAAAGAAAAAGAGAGTGAAACAAGAGAGGATGAAAGAACACTGGCGGATTTTGTCGGCACCCGCCACTTATTGAGAATGAAAAAAAAAACAAAAAAAAAATGAAAACCAGTGACGACACGACTGCAACTCTACGAGACCTGTACCTGTATATACTAACATTATTATTAATTATTCAATAATTTAAAGAAAAAGGTAACTTAAAAGCTCTTATTTATGAAACTTTATAAAAAAGAAAATACAGCAAAAAAAAAAATAAGAAAGAAGCAAAGAAAACGAGCGTGAGACTCTCGATTGCGTAGAATCATACGGCGAACGGTAGACTGCGTCCACGGTAACTTGAACGCGAGCATTCATCTTCATCGTTTTATTAAGTAATTTATTGAAAACGTAAATATAAATAAGGTATATAAATATATATTTTTTTTAAGCGCCGATTTTCTTATCGTTCCGCGCATGAGTGGATGAGAGCGCCAGGACGAGGGTGAAAGTGGAAAAACGCGTGTGCAAGTCATTGAGGAGGGAGAGAACGAAAATGAATTGAAGATGAAGGAAGTGTAAAAAAAAAGATAAGAAGTCGAGTATAACGAGGAGCGATTACGAACGTGAAAATTGTGCGAACAATGTTTATCAGTATTCATTCGATGGTTCCTTCGCAAGAGTTCACGAACGCAAAAACGATAACGGAACAAAGACACAAACGATCGAGAACAACAAAAAAATTTAAGTAATCACAATAAGGAATCCATTGAGTCTAAATCGCTCGTAACTTTTTCCTCTTCGAATCTTGGCTTTTTTACGGTTCGTTGTAATTTTTCCAAAGGATGCGAGAAAAAAAGAAAATCTTTCACATTTACATCCAGCGACACTAGATATTACTGGTGTATTTTTTCTTGTTCGAAACAAAAAAAAACGACCGCCTTCTGCTTCCCGTAAATCTTTCTCTTGAATTCTCGCCGGACTTCCGATATAATTTCGAGATGATGGACGATTATGAGAAAAATGTCGCACAAATCTTTTTTCTACGGCGGATTAAAAGTATTCGCGAACTTTGTGCGTATTTGAAATAAAAAAAAATAATAATAATAAAAACAAGCCAGTATTCGTGAAGGCATTCATTAAACTTGCGTCGATAAAAATTCCAAAGGAGGTCCTCTATGTCTTCTTTTGCCTTCATTCGTATTTAAGGAAGAAATATGGGATTACCATTGGAATCTGCGAGAGAGAGATCTCCTCTTTCGTACCATTTTCTTCCAAATGTAAATTGCAAGGTTGTATACGACAAAAAAAAATTCAAAGAGATTTTTTATAAATAGATAAATCGTCGTTCGTGCACTTCCGCTATGTAAGTTATTAACCGTTAATGCGATTTCGTTACTTCCATTAATTTTAAGCATCATGCAATATATTTCATTGATCAAGTCACTCTGAACGCAGACTACCGCGACCCGAAGGTTATAAGGAATGAGATGAAAAATTAATAAATAAAGATACACAACGGATATCCTCATAGATCAGTGATTCAAATAGAGGCTGGAATTTACGTCCGTTTGATAATAAACGAGCGGCAAATTACGGAGGATTTAAAACGGGGCGAGAAATGATGAGGAATGTATGAGCGAGAGAATGCGCATATGAATATTCGAGAGAGAGAGAGAGAAAATTGAATTGCTCCTCTATGATTATATTTAAAGAAACGCATCGCTGATTAATATATTTAAAAAACGGCCGTTTATACTTATGTACATTAAAAAAACGTATAGCGATACAGATTTTGGTGTCACGGGTTACAAATTCCCTTTCTTAAAAAAACATTACTTTTTAAATCGTTTCTTTAAGAAAAAAAAAAAAAAAAAAAAAAAAAAAACAATCCGATTCAATAATATGACAGACAAAAACGAATCCCTGTTAATTTAATACATGAAATTTTTTTTCAAAATTTAAACAATTTCTTTTAGGCCCCTCTATGTTAATCTGCGCATACGTTACAGGCAACGTGGACGATTCGGGCATTTTATGGAATGCCGGTAAAGTAGTAACGTAATTAAAAGAGATCTTAGTGTACGCTATAGTAGCGAATTACTCGCAATATTTAAAATGGCCAAACAGGCGAGAGTCGTGTATTTTGCAACGTGTCCCTCCGACGACTGAAACGATACAAGGAGCTATTGATCGATATTATCGACTGTACGAGAGCCTAACGCGGGTCCTGGTGAAAATACACGTGTCTCGCGAATATTATATCTTTTATTCTACCCAAAAGTCGTACGAATCCCACTTGGACGTGGTGAAACGGAATTTTGAGACGGCAGAAAAAACAAAATAGAAAAAAAAAAAACTAAAACTGGCATTTTGTAAGATTCTCTACGAGTGAAGAGGATTTTAACTATTCCTCTTACTTTGTTTTCTCGATGAAATTTTCTTTATGACGCACGCTACTCTCCTCGTGGCTGTTAAGATTTGCTTAATTAGCGATGTACCGAATGGTAATTTCGAAAGAGCAAAAATAAAGGGAATAACGATGGTATGCTGAAAAATAATAATAGCAATGAGAAAAGTCTGTATCCAAAAGCCGCCACGTCCGACGGAATTCGTAGGGGCGCGTGTCATTCTGTACATTGCCTGCGATTTCCTGCCTTGCCTGCATCAAACGCACTATCCCTATGTATAAATAAAGCGTGTAAGTAATTAAGAGGGAGGAAGCTAGTACTTACATAATATAAATGCGCGATATGAAAAATTGAGAGAGCGTGCATGAGAGTTCGTTTAAAAATAAAATGAGAAGAAATTGTAAATAAGCTGAGAATAGTGAAATAATTGAAGGAAAGTAAAGTGACTAATCGCCTCGGCAACAAACAAGAAGCAATATTTAGTTCTTATCGTCTCTTTAGTAATAAACGAAAAAAGCGACAACTCCAACTGTACTGTACTACAGACACATAAATACGAGCAACAAAGATAAAAATAAAGACACAAGCACGTGAAACTCTATACGGAAAAAAAAGGAAGATCACAGCAAAAAACAAGAACAAGATACGCCTGGTACATGTACACGCAAGAGAGAACGAGAGAGAATGTGCGAGAGAGCGAAAGTAAGAAAATTCAAGAAAGAGAGAGAGAGAGAGAGAGAGTGACACGCGAGAGCGTTCGTATTTAAACGATTATAAATTAAACGTTAATTATCATTATAATTCGTAAATAGTAAAATTGTTACGCATTTATTATTATTACAATTATCGATTAGGTAATGCTCAATTAGCATTTGTTTCTTAAAATAAAGAATAAATATATGGCTGTTGGATATTTACATGCAAGTATCACTATTCCCAAAATGCAAAATGTTGCACAAATTTATATTAAAAAGATAACAAATATATATTATATGGATACCACACATCACGGGATAACCTTAGTGATCAAAGATCAGAAGGATAAAAGGAAAATGATCCAGAGTAAGTAAGTTGGTAATAAAAATCAAATACTTCGAGGATACAGACAAATATTTCATTTAGCTTTTCATCTTTCTTTCTTTTCATTTCTTTTTGATATTTTTATTGTAAATTTTCTCTACAACCACCATAATGCCGAATCATCGTCGTTACAGTCATTATAAATATTGAAAGATCGTAGCGGCCGTACAATTTGTAACGAGGATAATAGGGCGAGGGGCGTCACTCGCAATACAAAATTCACGCGGTGACTATCATCGACCGTGTTTTATTCGATTTTCGATGGAGCACATTTGTCCCTCGATAATAAATCATAACTGCATCACTCGTGCGAACGCGCCTAAATACTTACAATTAATATGTCAGTGAGATTTTCTTCCGAATGGCCGGATTCAAAATCGATTTAGTTCTTAAGACCATCGAGAGGCCCAATTGCTTGATACTAGCTATAAAAAATGTTTCCCTTAATAGTCATAATTTTTTGTCTTACTATTTTTATTTTTCATTTATCCCGGCGCAACGTGCGACAATAACGACGGGCAATAAATGTCGTCACACGAAATTGTTTTCGTGAAGAAAAATTAATAGGTACTCAAGCTAGAAAGAGAATATATCTCTTTAATTTGTTTTTATACGCATGATCTTTTTTTTCTTTTCATTCGTAATGTTTTTCATGTTAAACCACGTCACGCGTCTCTATTCGACCTTTTGCACTTCGTTCCCTGTCGCCCGTTAACAGAGGACAGATTCTTGTATGAATGAAAAATTATATATTCCTATGGTAATTAGAAAAATAATACAGATTTCGTTTCGATAATGGAAACAATTCGCTATTCCTTAATGTATCACGTGATCTGAGTGGGTATGGTTAATTGAGTATGTACGTTGTCACGGCTAACCAAATCCCTGAAAAAAAAATCGTCAACTTTTCTTCATTTACGATTTGATTAATCAGCACGCATAAAGTAGTAATGTAATTTTCAAAAAATAAACAGCATTTACTGTGATAGTTCTTATTAGTATACTCTTTATTGCCATTTAATTCCCTTAATCAGGAATATGATAAAAATATTTATATATCAATATAATTAAAAATGACTCCGTATCGTTATTTAGAGAAATATTATCTTATTCACACGAGAAATGAAAGTACCTTACCTTATCAAGGTACAGGACTATCGGTCCCACTTCCGCTGTTGGTCCCTGCTTCACTCTTCGTGGCAGCAACCCTATCGCCTCGCTTTGTGCTCTTTGACAGGGACGCAACTTCCTTCAACAAACTCGATATCTTATGTTGCATATTCGATACTTTCGTCTCATACTCCTTCTCCGTGGCTTTCATCTTGTTACGTAATTCCGCTTCCGTTGTAAAGTGTTTGGCCTTTAATTCCGTGATCTACAGATAAACATAAATAACTTACATTGCAAAATTCCATGCATTAGCTGTTAAATGCTCATTTTCTTCAACCTACCTGCCTGTCCTTCGACAATAACTGACTATCCTTCATTGAGATCTGCTTCTGGAGATGAGCAATCTTCTCCTTGAGCTGCGTCACTGCCACAACATGATCAGAACTGTTAGGATCGTGATCGTGAACACCAGCCATTCTAGCAACTTTCAATGGTGTAGGACCATTAGCATCACTACCCTCAGACTGTGGTGGTAATTTCGTCACGTCTACCCTGTGAGGTCTTTTGTTATGGCCTTTTAACCTATAAACGGACAATTGAAATAGGTTACATATCTCGTTTGATATAAGACAATATCAATTAGATTATCATTTTCATCATCAAGGAACTACTATAACATCAACGAAAAATACTTTCTATATTATGATGTGCAGAAAGACATGATTGGTATTAATAAGGAAGATTTAAATGTCATTTGAATGCTCATCAATAGATGATAAAATATAGTGGACCATTTTTTAAGATGATGTTACCTTCTGATATTAGATATTGGGATCATAGTTACTTTTGTTCTTTGTGCTTTGCTGCTCGCTGCTGAGCTAACTTCAAGTGAGCCCTTCGTTCTGCATCCGATTGTTTTGTTTTTGCTAACGCACGCTTGTATGACAGAGTACAAAGCCAGCATAAGAGCTTCCCATCTACCTAAAAACGAAAAAGAGCACTGTAACCATTATAGCAATGTTGAGCGTTAATAGTAATATTACCATATACCAACAACAGAGAGGACTTAGCTGTAGAAACTACACTTGATGCCTATTCGTTCTCTAAAAAAGAAAAGAAGTCATGGCAGAATATCAAAATCATCGTTCAGTTTAAGCAGTTAATGTAAGTGCACGTGAAAACGTAGTATTATCCGCAATGCCAGACGTTCTATTGGGATTCATTGTGAAACACGACCAGTTGAAAAAGCGCAATGGAAACCGAGCTGAGTGCCATTTAACTACAAACGCGTAATAAACAACACTTGCACAGCTAGAGACTTCTTGTTTACGGTAATATGTATATGTAAGTTCAACAACCAGGAAACAAACAACAATGGAAATACATATGCCATATAAGACTATAAACATGCTATGATACCTTTTTGTCCTCATCCTGTCTGTCAAAGGCGCACTTCTGCTTGCACTGTTCACAAGTCACTGGTGGTCCATAGCGTTTCTCCGAGTTTGTGCATCGTTGACACTTGCTGCCAATAAATGCTGCTATGGTATTGCAATATTCGCATGCTGAAGGTTTCCCATAAGCTTTCACATTCTGTTCGCACTTCTTACATATCGTACTTGTGTTACCCTTGCTGAAAAAATTATATAGGGATATAGTGAATTAGTATGAAATTATGATAATTTTGATACAATCTTATTACTTACATAGTCTGTTGAAATTCGGATCTACAATAGGTACACTTGACAACTGGAAAAGCACCACGGCATTCCTACAAGTAAATACATTCCTATTTTTACACACGTAAAAGTATATATATTAATTAATAGGATTTATCCATGGAAATAAAATATTAAGTATTATTGATGTAAAAAAAACAACAATGATACTACATTCCAACATATCTTATCACTTTATCAATGTATTGGAAATATACAAGGCATATAAATAAAAATAAATCTGCATACACATGAACAAAAGAAAATAAGTTCGCAGTACCAAACTCCAAAAACTCTGTATTCAAGATAATAATGCAAATAGAATATTATGACAAATTACATTCTCTTAGAGAATATCATGCTACCTGAACTGCTATCCAAACAAATCAAAGAGAATAATAATATTAAGGATATCTACAATGTAAAAATATAACAAGCTCATACTCCAATATATCAAAATATTTTTGCTCATAAAAAAATTACGAGAATTACCGCTCTTCTTAGAGATAATGAAAAATTCTAATATTAGCATAGAATGTTGTCGTGGTTTCGAAAAGTCGTAGACGCCAATACAGGTTGAGTACTTTTTGCAAGGCCCACGGTGTACTAAACGAAGAGTTCGTATAACTCCAGAATCTCAATACCTTGCACAACTGTTGTCCAGGTGACAGTTCTTCAAAGGGATGTCGTGAAAAGCACCTGGAGCACGCAAAAAGCGCTTGAACGTTATTCGTGCTCATTCTCGAAGAACTCTTGTGTGCGAAGTCTTGGGTCACTAACGACGCACGTCACTGAGTTAAAAATCGGCCCGAAAAAATTATCTTGTATATACACACGAACCGAACTACTGTGATTGATTAATATAATTAAAAAAAATTAAACTACGCCACAGAACGTATAACACTGTTTTACATATTTTGCATGCGTCTCTCTACGACACAAACAATTTTTTTTCACGTACAACACCTTTCTTAATTCTTCACGACCGGCTGTTGACTAGAGGCGGCCATTTGCGACTTCGGTGAATGGCAACCATGGATGAAAACGGAACGCGTTCGTCTACTTTACTTTTAAAAATTACTCACCAGATGACAGGCCGGTTCCCACAGTGTGACGAACTCAGTCCGACTGAGCGCTATCGCTACTAACTCCCAGTCGCTCAGTATGGTAGAGCTCCTTGTTTCCTGATTTGATACCGCGAAATTCAAGACGCAATTCGTAGTAATTCTTAATATTCGAAGTACACAGCCAGAGTCTTATTTTAGTTATACGTAAGATATAAGACCCCAGTTGCCTTATAACATTGACATTCTAATACTTTGTATACCTTCTCCTTTTGTACTAAAGACCCTTTTCTTTGTAAACAGCAATAAATAAGGGAAAGACTTTTGGGAGTCCCTCGTAATATGACTCGAGGGTCGTCACGGCCCAGCGTGCGTGCTCGCGCGCTTATTAGCATGAGCTATGTGAGTCTGTTTTTTGTCAACCACATTCGGAAACCAAGTAAGCGCTTCCGCTGACTTGTCTTTTGCACGGGAATCTTTCAAGAAACTTTTCCACGCTTTCACCTTTTCCCTCCCAAACAATTCTCCATGAAAAGAAAATGACTCACGACGCCTGAAAAAGCTTCTTATTCAGGAAGTGCTGACTTTGCTCCGAAAGAGTGAACTAGTATACTCACGGCACTGCTGCAGTTTGGTTTTATCATCCAACACGCGTACAGTCAGTCTTTTTCTTGTCCGCGCATTAGTGTAATATAAACTTTATTCTAATCCAATGTAAATTACTCGCTTGTGTATCAATTAATTTCTTCGCGTATCTTTGAAGAGTTAAAATAGATGAATGAAGAAATTCCCGTGTTTATATCATTTCAAACTTCCTAGTCCCAACGCGCTATTTCTATAGCCAATGCAGCGGCGAATCCCTGACGAAACTTACGGTCCTGAGCGGCCAGTCAGCGAAGGACTTCAAGGTAACCAGCTCCAGGACGTAACAACAATTTAATGAAATATGAAATGAAAAAAAAAAAATTTATTCGCGCAATAAGTGGATCCTTTATAGAGTTAGCCGGACACATTTAACTTTAAACATTATTTTTTGTACTAATCGTTTGGTGGTAATTGGTAGTTTAATTAAAATCTTTGGTAATCAATAATTTTTCTGGAATATTGAAAACAAATTTTAGCAAGAATTTAGCCGGACATATTTAATTTATTAATCGATTTTGTTCGATAAGCGGATAAATCGATGCGAAATCGTTTGGTGGTTACGAATAACGTAGTTAAAAGTTCTGGTAGTCATTGATTCTGCCAAAAACCTTAAAGAACTATAAGCGCAATAGTGGTGGAAGTAGGTCACCCGATGGCAATCAGTTGGCCAAAGAAATATTAATTTTTCAAGTGACAACACTCTGTGAAGTCATAATCGGCGTAGAATCGTTTGGCGGTTACAAATAAACTAGTTGAAACGTTTGGTGATCATTGGTCCTGCCCAAAATTTTTAAATATGATTAGGGCAATACTAGTGGGAATCGGTCAAATAATGGCGTCGAATTTTCCGGACAATTTTGTATTTTATTCGTTGGAAATTCACCTCTATGAAGTTAGCCGGTCAATTTTAACTTTTTAACTTCTGATTATACCTAATCGATTGATAATAGTTTGGTTGGATTGGTGGCTTAATTAAAATATCTGGTGGCGCATCGTTCTCTTTCAATTAGGTAATTAAATTTGGAACCTGAAATTAACCGAAATTTCTTTTGTTTTAATCAATTCAATTAGGGCTGTACAACACGGGTTTGCACAAAAATTAAACGAAACAAATCTCCAAACATGAAATATTGCGATTACTAGATTATATTTTATGAAAGTATAGTTTTATAACAAAATAATATATATGATAACAGTAAAAGTATATTAATTTCAAATTTTTAAAGATAGTTGCTTTTTTCCCGATCAGGTGGCGCCACTATTCCATGCGATTCGTCTTACATTTGACAGATGGCGCTACGTTAAAACCCTAAGTCACTAGCAGCTAACTTCAGTTCGGAGACGTATACTGCAGTTATCCGTTCAGCAGAAACACCGCTGAGGGAGCAAATACATTTGATTGGTCAAATCTCAGTCGTTTACAAGATTAACGATCAAATGACCAATCAAATGTATTTGCTCCTCAACTCTGTTTCTGCTGAACATACCCTAAGGCCCGTTTTCTTCAACGCGGTTGAATGCATTAACTACGCTTATTTTTAAAATACAAGTGTCTAATTGGCTAATAGCACATTTAAACCGATTTATCCATTAAGCCGCGTCGAAGTAAATGGGCCTTTGTCATTGTTTGTCATTACACGTTTTCTTTGTAACAATATACTTATTTTTTGCAAACCTAGTGTAGGAAAATGAATAAACTAGCTTATTTGAGTTGTCCGTTCACGTGGAAAATGGAAGAGCTTCCTCGTACTGCAGAAAGTTTGATAGATGCAGATACTGAAAGACGTGAAATGTTGTTATTTGACGGCAATCGACAGGATGGTATTACTTTTAGAAAATTGATTTACGCAGTGACAAAAGCATATGATTTTGCTGAAAATCATTGTTTGGAGAATGCAATGGAAGAAGTTGAGAAATCAGAGAATCTTTTTAATGATCTTCAGGAAAAGTAAATTAATTTGTAAATTTAATACTGACAATTTTCTTTTACATGAAGTTTAATCGACAAGTTTTTAAAATATTGCCAATAGCTTTATTGGTGAGAAACATTTAATAAGCATATAAGTTATATCAATTTAGCAACTGTTTTCAGAATACCTAATGGCATATCCATCAAAGCGTTTGAGCATATGGTTAAAGGAACCAAATGCTTTATTCTTCAAAAAATGAATAAACTGAATGAGGTAGAAAGTATTCTAGAAAGTTTATCTATTTGTGAGGACAGTTTTGAATTGGGAACACTGCATGGGTGTCAAAGTTCAGCCTGGTACTTTTACAAATTTGCTGGAAAAGAGAAGGCTATAGAAAATGCATTGATTGCTGTTGAATTAAATCCTAAGAGTGGACTATGGCACTTTCTTCTTGCAATGAGTTTAAAACATGTCAGGCAACTTATTGGTAAGGAGAGAAAACCCGGTCCTAAAGAGCAGGCAGCACTTAAAACTGCATTCAAGTTACAACCAGATCCACTTATTGGCATTCAGTGTGCTAAAATGTATCATAAATTGAGGGAAAATGAAAAAGCAAAAGAAATGTGCAATAATGTACTTCATATGAATCCTACCAGTTGCATTATTTATTTGCAATTAGCACTTGGTTTTATTCAATATCATAACAATACATGGGATAAACTAATTTGCAAAGAATATAGCGAGAAAACTCGCATCTGCCTAGACTATGTTGGAACAAGGATGCCTAAAAATCAAAGATATAAGATATGTTAAAAAGATATGAGAAGGTTAGTGAATATACAATCCAGAAAATATTAATGCATATTGGATCATTTCATCATTTTGTCCGCAAAGATGCAAAAAGTGCTTGTGAATCGTTTTTAAAATGTATTGAAATTAATCCACAATGTAACAGATTAAAGGTAAAATACATGTTTATTTTACTTCAGCAAATTCAGTGATTTTATACTTTTCATGTATTGTCCTTAAAATTTTAGATGTTTTTTTATGGTATTGTTAACAAACGATTCAACATATTCGTTGTATTGAAGACAGATATTTTACCAAAGTTGCAAAGACAATATCCTGACCAAGCGTCTTATGAAATGGTAACTAAAGCAGAGGAATTTTGCAACCTGTATGGAGATAAAGATTGTATGTCAATAGAACAGAAAGTCAAAAATATTCAGCTTTGAATTACGAAAAGTGAATGTTTTTGGTAAGAATTAAAAATGTTGAATTATTCAATTTACACAAAATTATTGTTAGAGCTCCTACATGACGATTTTATATCTATTGTTATCGCAATACCTAATTATATATTCAGTTTATCGGGTCTTAATTAATTATGTGATAAGTCTTAAAGTACATTATATCTAATAATTTCGATATAGTTATATATAAGTTTTATTTTCGCTCATTATTTTTGTAAACGAATAATATGAAAAAAATGTAATGTGTATTAGATTTAACATCTTTTATATGGAGACTTTAAGAGAAATAATAATAAGTAATTTGTTAAAAATTCATCTACTGATTCACGTTGACCTTATTGCCTTACCTAGCTTTTCCCTTTATACGAAACAGAAATATTATCTCTCAATCACTATATGCTATTGCAAAACGAAGTCCATGCATTGAACCGTGTTGAAGAACATGCTTGAATGCACAAAATTAGAACTCGGTCGAGTCTCGCGCCAAGTACAGGCAACCGGCTGTACAGGGCACGGCTCGCCAAGAATCTTTACCTGAGTCAACTCTTGTAAACCTGTGTCTGGAATCAAATATTTTATAAGCCGCTATACATATATAAAAAAAACAATTATTGATACATTCACTATAGGAATTGATGGTTTTCTGAATCGATTGCCACCAAAATCAATGCGGTTAGTATACCAGATTAAGGCGTTTTGAGATGGCGAGCGAGATAATTTTATTTCAATTTCCTCATCACCGGCGTCGTCGTCAGTAGGATATGCAAAAGATGGGCAGAAAGGGCTCATTCAGACCGAAAGCAGAGGGAAGCGAGAAGCGAGCAGCGGAATCTTGGCTGTGAAACCACATTTTCTGCCTTTTTATGTTAGGTAGTCATATGAAAGTATTAAGAAATAAGTTATTTACCTTAATTACGTATATATAGAGTAAAGTATACTACATTAAAAATAGTAATACTTTCCTTCCTTTCCTTATGGCTGACTCCTCCAATGCGAGACCGTTAGTCTCGACGTACCGAGTTGCCCGGCAAAGGAGAGCACCCGACGGAGACGTCTCGAAGGACCGACAGAAGCTCGGGTGAGATACCGGTGCCCCGCTGGAGATGGACAAAGGGCTGTAGAGCGGGCGGAGATAAGGTTTTGTTACGATTAAGGGCAGGGGAGGAACCTCCTGCCCGAGTTAAGGATTTGGTGCCCAGCTGTCGCCCGATGCCCTGAGGAAGCGGCCATGGGGGATCTCCAAATGTTACGTACCGATTCACTAAGGAACGCTCTCGATTTGATTTAAAGGGACGAGTTGAGGGAAAGGAAGAGTTATCAGCTATAAGGATGCCGACCAATCACAATGATTAGTTCTCGAATTTGGCTATTATAAAAGCAGTCAGTCTCGGAGCACCAAATGAGGTGTCACGAGCTGCCTCGCGCTTCCGTGCTGCCTGTTGATATATTTGCTAGCCGTGTTTCGATACGGTATACCAAGTTCTCGCTCGTGTACTTCTCACGTTACTGTCGCGACATCCAGAAAATTCCCTGGACTTTCTGCGAGTGTTCCGGAAGTGCAGTGCTGTGCCCTAGTGCAGTACCTACCTGAGTGTCTCCTGGATGCAGTTCTCGACATTAACGGATCAGCTGCCCCAGGCCGGTGAGTACATCTTCACTGCCTTCCATCGTTTGTACCTTCACATTTTTTTTTTAAATTCAAGATAAGTACGTAGTAAGTACAGCGTTTAGACGGCATTTTTTCAAGTTTTTCAAAAAAGTATCGTTTATACCGCTGTCCGATTAGTCCCATTCGAAAGAATATAGTCTCCAGTACATCTCCACTGCGTTCCGTCGTTTGCACCCTCATAGTTTTTTTTTTTAATTCGAAATAAGTACGTAGCGATTACAGCGTCTAGACGCCGTTTTTTTGAGTTTTTTCAAAAAGTATCGTTTGCTAACCTTTCCTATCAGTCCCATTCGGAAGAATATAGTCTCTAGTACATCTCCACTGCGTTCCATCGTTGGGACCCTCACAATTTTTTTTAAATTCAAGGTAAGTTAAAAACTAATGTTAAAACCTATCAGGAACTGTAGAACTCCTCGAGAACTATTGAAAAAGACTATTGTCCCACACAGCACACTATATTTCGAAAACATTACAACAATATTCCAATATTTCAATGCGACAGCAATGTTGTTGATGTCTTTATGTCAAATATTGCAGAATATTTCAGGGCAATATAATAAATAAAACTTTCTGATATATTGGTGAAATCTGTGACAAGAGTCCCTAACCAGACTCGGAGTATCCGAGCGAACACTAGTTCACTGCCGCGCCGCTAGGTGGCCAAGGCAACTCGCATGAAAAAACGTAGGACCGGGTAAATAATTAATCCGTCGATTATTCGGTTTTCGTCTTCGCCGTCAATATATACTTTTGTATTCTGCATGTAAAAATTACATGTGAAATTATTGCATTTGTATAGAGTATTTAAAAATACAACCGAGGTAGTATTTAAAGAGGTATAGGCAACCTGCCCAAAGAAACCCACGATACATTGCTGGCATTGGAATTTATTCTCAGTTATATTATTTCTCAGTTATCTATCTGAGTTATATTTTATTAATATTATGCATTGATATTTCCAAAATATTGACCGGCAATATTATAGCAATATTATGATTGCAACGTGCTGAGCGGACATTGCGAGGTTCCTGCAACATTCCAGAAATATTTAAACAATTTTCAATATTTTTCCGGTAATATTGCATTATTTCAAGGGAAACTTTTAGCAATGTTGACAAAATATTTCTGTGCTGTGTGGGGTTGAAACGTTTTCAAGAGTTTTTTTTAAAAATGCGGTGCTGGAGATCCATACCCGTGTAGCGCCTCAATTTTTTTAAAATTCGTATTTTAACGATGTGATGTAGCAGAACTTTTGTTAAAATCTATCAGGAATCGTAGAACTTCTCGAGAATTGTTGAAGAAGCCTATTGATGAATCAGTTTCCAAATATTGAGGTGCTACACGGGTATGAAGGTGGCACCGCAATTACTTAAAAATGTTTCAACAATACTCTTTTTCAATAGTTCTCGAGGAGTTCTATAGTTCCTAATAGGTTTTAACAATAGTTCTGCTACGCAACATCGGTAAAATATCTATTAAATATACTGGTGGCACCATGCGCTTCAATGCAGGGAGGCATGAGTTGCTCGGTTTTGTCATATTAACCTTACCGAGCTTACACTGTGCGCTCGAATTTAGGATTGCAAAGAAAAAAATATTTAGGCTATATCCGATGAGCTGCCTCGTTCTAAATGTTGCTTTGGGAACCAGCGTTAAGTAGCGGAGTACCTCTGCCTACCAAGCTACACGTTCGTGATCGCAGTCAGCTCGGCTACGATGGGATCCGCATTATCAACGGAGACGATGATCACGAAACTCTACTTCCGGACTCGCCGCTGCGATTCAGTGCTATGTTTTTGGTATCGCCTAAAACCGTAGCGTTGTGCATCTCTCTACTCTAGAGTCCCTCTAGTAAGAGTCCGGCCAACACCCGAAAGGGACGCCATATTAAGGGCTTGTTTGGCGCCACCATGATATTGCACGCGGATTTTCAAACTACCAATCTTTACCATCAAGAGACTCGGTCGAGTCTCGCGCCAAGTACAGGTAACCCGCCGTACAGGGCTTAACACTACCCACACTACAGAATGCGAATCTCTCCCATAAACGTATTCACACACACCGTTCTATTCCGGAAGGAGCCCATAATATAGCGGAGCCAATCACTAACAAGCCCCACCGTTGGCCGGACTCTTACTAGAGGGACTCTACCCTACTCATCTCTGTTTGGGATTTCCCTGTTTCTACTCAATCCCCTACTTCCAAAAATTTTTTTTACTACCCTGCGTCTCTAAAATATACGATTTTTATTGTTCCGAGTGTCATGCTCAATATCACAGTGCAGTTCAATATAGACGAACATAGCATCCGAAACATGTCATAATATCATTGTCTTTACGTATGTATTGCTCTTTATTAGATTTACGAATGCTAATTTTTTACACGAGTTCGAAGGAAGAAATGAAGAAAAAATAAAAGACATGCTTTTTTATTATTCAGTATTATTTGTATTACTTATAATAAAATATACATTTTTTACAGTGTTTTTGGTATATTAAAACGACCAAAATTTATATACGAAAATGGACCAACTTCATCGTTTGAGTTGTCCATTCACTTGGGAAATGAAGAATGTGGTTTCGACTCCAGAAAGTCTTTTATTGGATTACAGCCAATCTGAGTCTAATTGGAATATTGAAACTGATAAGGAACTAGGAAGCTTTACTCTTATGAAGTTAATGTACTCGGTGATGGTAGCTTTCGAAAATGCAGAAAAAGGTGGTTTAAAAGAAGCGATGCAAAAGATTAAAGAATCGGAAGAGATTTTTATTAAATTGCAAAGGTAAACTCAAATAACATATTAATAATAAAATGTACAAAGCCAGTCTTCATTAAACTATTTATTTCAGTATGCCAAATGGTATATCTATAAAGGCAGTAGATCATATTATTAAAAGTACAAAATGCTTTATTCTAAAAGAAATGAAAAGATTTTCTGACGTAACAAATATATTAAAGTCTATTGACTCTTGTGATAAAGAAAAACTTGAAATCGGTACTTTGTATGGGTGTCAAAGCATCGCATGGTCATTCTATTTTGCTGCTGAATGCGATAAGGCTATTCAAAATGCATCAAGAGCTATTGATTTAAATTCTGACAATGGACTATGGCATTTCATCCTTGGCAAAAGTTTGAGGCGTCAGAGGAAATTTTTTAACTTTGGTACTAAATTAACATTAAGAGAGCAAACTTCGTTTAAAAATGCATTTGACTTATTACCCACCAACCCATATGTTGGAATCTATTGCGCTCAAATGTACCGTGAGTCGTACGACCTGAAGAATGCAAAAAGAGCATATACCAAAGTACTCGCCATGAAACCTGACAGTTGTGACATTTATCTCAAATTGGCACTCGGATTTATTCGTACCAAAAGCTGTGAAAAAGCCTCCGAATGCTTGAAATATGTAGCTTCAAGGACTCCAAAAGATAAAACATATCTTCACTACATAGGAATATATCTTGAAAAATGTGAGAAGGATTATAAGGTATGATTAAATCTATTATGTATTTAATTCCTGTTATATTTTGTTTACTTCTATCATTTATCCTTAGGGAGCCTTAAAATATTTCAAAGAAGCAGGAGCTTTGTATAATTATGCAGCAGATATGAACTACGTAGCTCTAAAAATATCTCAGAACTGCAACAAAAATGATACTCTTGAATATTTATTTGAAATGTTGGATCGATACAAATCTATTGCGTACAAAACACAGGCAATACATTTAAACATAGGATCGGTTTATTATACACAAAAAAATCTGAATGATGCAGGTGAACATTACCTGAAAGCAATCAAAATTGATCCACAAAATACAATACTGGAAGTAAATATTTCCTATAATTTATAAATATACATTATAGTGATCATCGAAATTTATTTGCAACTTTAAAAAGATTCTTTTATTAATTATATTAGTAGAGGGCAACGGTGCCTTCTGATATTTCTCAATATGATGTTATTCCATTTTTCAGAAATTTCACAACGTCCCACTTACCAGATTTAAAATAAATATCTTTGACGTACTAAAAAGGGAAGTAATACCTTTATGGAAAAAACAAGCCGTTGATCAATCAACGCGTGAGATGTTGAGGGAAGCAGAAGAAGCCTGTAACGAATACAATGCTCGTTTCAGTAAGACAACAGCACAGAAGATGACAAAGGATTCACTGTGAATCATCTTCATGGAACCCATTGTTATTATTGAATGTCAACGAGCGTTTTAATGTTATCTATACTTCGACATCCTTATTTAATGGAAGTTTATATAATCATTTATTTAGACGTGCTGGCAGGAAATCAAAAGTTTATATATTTGATAACATACATATATGCGCTGGGTGCATTGTGCAGTTACTATTGTTTTAATGAGTATTTGAAGAACAGAGTGCTGATAACTTATCGATATTCTATCACTAACATTTCTGCTTATCGACTCACGTTTCACTTACAGTTCATTCCAGGGGTAGAGTTTCGTTTTCGGTAATAGTGAATGCGTTAAAGTAGACATTGATAACTAACGTTTTTTTTTTCATAGTTAACGTATATTTTAAGTCATACAAAAATTTAAAGAGTACACAAAAAAAATATTGTCCTGTATTCAAAATAATGTTAATACTAAACAGTGAAACGAAGTAAAGACTCCACTTATGTAACATTGAAGTAAAACAGACGGGTCTATGAAATAGGTTGTCAGTGTAACGTATTTTTTGCGAATCTGTCTTTCCTTTATGAATCAAACACTACGCGAAAAAAAACTCTAGATAAAAAGATATCTATGTAAGATAATTTTCAATTGAGCAGGATTTAAAACTATTACATAATCTGTTATAATTAGCCTTCGACATTTAACACTATAAAAATAATTATTTTGATTGCTTGAAAAAAAAAATAAATATACATTACTCTTTTCAGTGCCTATTATTTTCTTTTTGTTGTATATAGACATGTAATATATGCGTGCTTCTGTATGACATTGAAACCCTTTTATCAATGAAATTTCTTTTTTATTACTGCAGAGTGACATGGTCCTCAATCTTGGGTGCAGGATAGGAGATCTCGAATTTGAGTACAATCATCTCAAATCCTTATTCCACCGACTGTCTTATTAAATGAACCGCATTTAGACACAAAGTAGATAGCAGTTTAGCATATATTTCATAACTTTTCCTAAAGTTATTGAATTTACATTAAACGCATTGATTGATTTTCGTAATTAGCTAGAGAATTTACAACCCCTTAAGCCACGATTAAGTTCTAGAACTAATTTATCCGCAGTTACTACTTAAACGTACAGTTGTTTCTAGTGCCAGACCCTAATAAAAGAGATATAGAACCAAAAGGAAAATGAAGATAACGAAGTAGTAGCTTGCGGACGGTGTTTGGAGTCACATCGGTGCTACAATTAAAAGGAGAAACTCCAAAAGATGAATTGGAATTTGTGCCGAAAGTGACAATTTCTTTTAAATTCGTTTACTTGTGTGTATTAATTTTTATTTATTTGCAATGAAACATATTTATGGTGTGCAGAATTGACTTGCGAGAAAAATGGAAAAGGAGCTAGAGAAATCGAATTGCCCATTTACATGGAATTTGGAGAAGTTCGCTTACAGTAAAGACAACAAGCTCACATTTTGAAATTCGTGCAGTATTCTTCGATAAATGTGTTGAAGAACTGAATGATGTTCTTTTATTAAATTTAATGTATAAGACGACTAAAGCTTATAAATGTACCGAATTCATTCACTTCGAGGATGCTATGACATGGATAGCAAAGGCTCAGAAGAATGTTGTTACCATTAAAAAAAAAAGTATGTAGAATTCAAAGAGTGTTACACGAAGCAAATTAGTTTACTTTTTATTAGAAATTGTTTATCAAAAGACAAATTTAGTCGATTATTCATAATGAACTTTAATGTGTGAGGTATACCTATCCTAAAAACTGAAAAATGTTTTTTTTTTATAATTTTAATGTAACTTATTCGAAGCTTTCTAGCGAAAGAGATATATATGCCAGCGTCTTTCAGTTTTTCGCTTAATTATTTAAGACTATAAAAAAAAACTTGTAAATTTCCGATTCGTGCTGATAGAAATTCATCCGTGTAGGTACTTAAGTTGGCAACACTAATAATGTGTTACGTCCGGATGAGAACCTTCAGTGATACTTAATGTTTTTAACCTACATTTCGTCTGGTGCGACGCATTATGCTAGTGTCATCTTAGTCACTCATAACAACCGATAGTCTAAACATTAATTTTCAAAGAATAATTCCAATCCGTCACTACCTTAAGAAAACACGTCGACAGCTAGCCTTAGCAACTCTGCGACAAATAAGATATGTGCGTCTTATAGAAATCATAGTATAAACAAACCAGTGGTCACGCGCTATGTGTGTGACCCGAAAGGCTATGGTATAAGGAAGAAGTTACAAAAGACGAATGTAAGGTCAAAAATTAGAGGAAAACCCCCACCTAGTGATCAAGGACTAACAGTGAGTCATAGGTCATTTAAAAAGGAAGATCAGTTCGATCCAGTTGCTGTTTTTGGGTCAGCAGTCACAGAGTCCAGTCAGGAATCCGAAGTCAAATGTTTCAGCCAGATGACAAAGTAAATTGTTCCCTGAAAAAAATGCAACTCAAGAAAAGATCTAAGTTCAAATTTTATAAATCTTTCTAAGTCTTTTGTCACCGATTCCAAATTCGAATTCAACAGTTAGACATCATATTGCTAATCTATTTTATAACTTAAGTTATTTTATTTTAACTTTAAATTATAATTATTGAGTTGTAATTTTAATGACCCGTATGCAACTTTATCGCAAAATTGTCTATTAACTATCTTCCTTCAAATCCTCAAACCAATCCCTATCTCTGTTCAACCAACACGAAATTTCTTAATCCGTGATCAGATGCACCACTTCGTAAGTAAATGTTCAGTTTATCAGCTTTCTGAAAGGTTTCATATTGTGGACTTAAATTCTAACCACCGTCAGTAACAATTCGTTTTGCGCAACCAGTCTCATGACCATCAACGACACAGGGTGCAAGTAACTGGCCGATCCCGGGTAAATTTCCGAAAGGTTAGACCCGAAACAGGCCATCGTGACCATCCTCCTGACGTTACCCATTGCTTATAAATATTTGCCAGTGGAGTGGAGCGTATCTACTTCCCATTACTACCTTACCGATAGCATGCGATCGTTCGTCGGAAGTAGTAACCGTTGCAAATATACTCGGTAGGGTGAAGTCCACCGATCCTCCAACTATCACTACACTGACCGAGTGCAATCGTCAAGTGGATGTCATAAATGTAAAGTTTACTAACTCTTTGATTGCAATTAAACCTTGTAGACCAAAAAATAATTTACTGACGGTAACCTATATATCTATATTTTTGTTGATATTAGTTATTATACTTTACAGTATAATGTGCAGTTTGTTTTCAGAAATTTTTCAATCAAATTTCTAAAAATAAATTCAATATTATATGTAGATGCACTAAAGAGCTACATTTAACCAGAATTGAAAAGGTATTATTTGGTCTTTTTGCGCAGAATGATGTTATCAGAAGCTGCAATGGCCTTGAATCCGCCTCGGTCTCGCGTTTGTCACATACGCGCATTCCCATTCGCATTCTATTCGCATGATTGTGTAGCTTCGCGTCGATACGCCGATTCTGCTCTTTCACATTCGCATTCGCTGTCTTCTCCAATGAGATGTGCTAACACATGCGCATTTGCGCACACTCGTGTCGTGAACAAAATTCTTCTTCTTATTCCTTTTTGTGATAAAAATTTTGATTGTAACGTATTCCAACTAGTACAAAGCCATCTGATAGGTACCGCTACGATGTCTCGAAAAAGTCGCAAATAACTTTTTTCATATCACAATAGTTAATGTTTAGCTACCAGAATGTATTGCGAATATTGCGCTGAATGGTAACCTGTTCCGTTTGCAAAGTGGATATTTTTGGCATACATTTTGATAGCTGTAAAAGATGTCAAATAGATACCAAATGCAGATTAACTAAATTTCAGCTAAAGGACATCTATAAGACATTGCTGAATAAGATCGTGTTTTAAGATGCGAAAAAGATGTCTGTCGGTGAACGAAAAGGTGTCTATTGTCACAGCAAGGAAGTATCCTCAAACAGTTGCCCAATAATATTGAAAAAAAATATTGAATAAATGTAATATGTACTGTAACCTTATTCGCACGATACGGTTCTCCGGATCGTGCCAAAAAGGCGGGTTCGAGCCTTTCGAGCCGAATCGACTATTAGGAATTTAGGAAAAATATCAGGCGGAACAAATGAAAGTGAGATTTTATTTTACAAATTAGAAAAGAAAATATATTATCCTACAACGGAATACAATAAGTTTTAGCGTAGGTCCAGCCTAGAGAATGCTGGATGTTAGTAAGCGAAGAATAGATATAAATGTAAGCGGACAGTGAGAATGATTATAAATGGTCTATACAATGGTTTAGTAATCGGACAGTCAATTGTATTAATACGGTTGTTACACGCAGTTTACCTATACGATATGTCTGACGGAAATCGTAGGTAAACTTCTAGTCTCGTGTGATTCTATTTTGGCTCTTATGTTGATTGTATCAATATAATATAGAATCGTGTCTGAAAGCAGCCTCCGACCAGCGGAATTTGATTACAGAGTTGACTCGTTAAAATATAATCGTCGTGCTGTTGAGCAGTTTTCCACAAGGGAACTCGTGATCACAGTGGTCCTATCTAAAACAACGTTGCTATCTTGGCGAGGTGAGAAGTCTCATTCGCAAAGTAGCTAGTTGTACAAGTCCTTAGATAAAGTTAGGATGGCATGTGTAGCGGAAACGGCACAATGATCAAGTGTATCAAAGTGACGGCCCAACTGATATGCAGAGATTGATTCTATCTGGCAGAGGAGACGGTTTGCTCGATTACAAGAGTAGAAGTACCTCTAGATATGATGGTCAAGTGGGACGGTTTGCCCGCTTGCCCGAGACGGTTTGCTCGTTTACTATACTAAAGGTAACCTAGCTAGCTCAGGTGATAGAATGCTCGAGTCGCGAAACGTCGCCGTTTATATACCCGTCAACGGTAGGCCAGGGGGCCTGAGAGGTGCGGAAGAATTGAGCGTTGCGATGCCTACGAATTGTTATTACTTGATATTTAGGGTTATTCGGGTTAACGGGATCTTATTATTACCGCGATACGAATATCCTCGAATGTATACGTTACAGTATATATATACTGTAACAAAAATGTTACTACAGGCTTCTCCCCGCCTTCTGGCTCGAGGCTCCCACAGGCCTTGAGTATTGCGTCTAGTATGTAGTATTGTTAATTGCGTATATTTAGTGTTCTAGGTCTATTATAACTAGTCGTAAGATTCCTTTCCTCCACCCTTCCTCCCTGTCATCATTCCCCGTAGGGCACTGGCTCGAGGACCATCAACGAGGACCGTCATCGTGGAACCTTTAGGAAGACAACAGCATCCTAGGAAGGATTGAGAGAGCGGCTACGTCGCCGAGGCAGCGGAAGGCAGGGATGGCATGGACAGGAGGAACAGCTGATCGAGACGCCCGTGGGATGGATGCCCACCAGCCACCACCATCGCCGCGGAGATGCTGCCCCGGTGCAGTCCCGTCACACGAGTAGTAAAGAGGCCCGTGTGACAGGGATGGAGCCCTCTCCCTCCAGCCCCGAAGACTTCCACGAGAGGATGTTTTGACAGGCCTGGAGGCCGCCATCTGACCGGCGCGCGTAGACAGCCCGCGCGCCGGCAATGCCAGCGTCTGGTGTACATACATATACGTTAGTAATGCAGAAACGTCCACTCGTCAAGTGGCGCGTCGACGTCGAAATAAAACTTGAACATGAAAATCGGCTCATTGGCAATCTCCTTACGATTGAGTTAGAGGAACACTGGAGGTCGTACGCCTGTATTCGGAGATAGCCCTGTAGCGTGTCAATCTCATCCACTCTCTGTAGTAACAGAGATGGTAGTAATTAGTTGTCCTTTTCGAATTGAACTGCGCATGTGTTGTATGTACAAGCCGTGCAAGTGTTGTCCCGCCGACGTATCAATGGGGACATATCTGAGTTTCTGTAAAGTTTTATACATTAAATGACAGTTATGATAAGTCTTTTAAAATCACTTTTCACTGCGGTCAAGTAATCAGTAAAACTTTATAAAAATGAAAAAAAAAATTTAGCAGTCTTCGAAATAAAGTGTGTCTGCAACTATTTCAAATTATGTTCGCTTTAGCCATCCTAAACTTTTTGAGACTGTACAGTATGTGATAGAGACAGCCTACTCCATTCGCCTGTTTCCTCGCTATCTCTTTCTGCACGCCCATCACCAATGCCGTACGCGTTCCAGGCATTTACATTTCAATGCTCCCTACTCATCCCTGATTGGGGTAATATTCTGATCGTGGCCAACATCCTTTTCGCGGCAAATTCGATTGCGTGAATCTGGCGAGGTGGGTTCCTTATCCAGCAAAGCTCTGATAGCACTCGTCGCCTTATGGGTCATCACTCGAAATACATATAGTCAGTCCACGAGTTCGGTGTTTTTCATAAAATAACGTAAATATATAGTAAAATAGACAAATAAAATATAGTTATATATTTATATTTAGTAAATATAATTCGTAACAAACATTTTATGCAATGACACGAATGCCTTGATAGGAAGTTCATTGTTTTCAATCTGCCAAAAAACACAGATCAAACTCATGGACAGACTATAGATTGAAGTAGTACGGCTGAGTTAATTGTCATTATAAACAATAACAAAATAGCTACTTGTTATTGATTTAAAAGATCCTGAATACTCTCAAAGTTTCTACTCAAGCCCGTTAAGTCAGCGCAGTAGTCACTTAAACTGATGAATATGACATTTCGCAGTTTTGCAAATTACTTTGTTTCGTACAGTCTCGGAGATTGAAGAGAGCCTATCGGTTCATTTATGACGAGAATCAGCTACGGCACTGGAGTCAACTTCAACTGAGTATTTTATCGAGACCTCGCATCATAGTATACATATACTTTGTGATACGCCTATATCAGCCCATAGTCTTCGGGGCAGTCCCTAACTGTCTGCATAGCCATCCTGCACGGCGTAATTGCGTTTAGACATATACGACTAAAATAGAATTCCTGAACTTTACAACGAGTACCTATGATTGTTTAAACAAAATTAATAAAGTGCTTTTGATTTTTTTAACGTGCATTGTGACCAAGACGAACGAAACCATTATTTCAAATATTAATAATTGCTTTTAGAAACTTTTACATACTACTAATTTTCCGTCATTATGCTCTTTGTTTTGAGAAGTACAAGGATACATCAAATATACGCTTAAATTATAATACAACGCGTGGGTAAGAAAGTTGATAATTTATTAAACATCCTTTAGACATGGATTTTATTGACGAATGTAGACTTGTTGCTAATTTTAATTATCGAATAAAAAAGCTAATATTGAGTTCTTTTAAACTAGCAAACTAATACGTTTATTAGACTGTATTTAGTTATAAACAACAAAATTTGGCGACATTATCCTTGAAAATGCGTTTGCCACATTTGTTTAACTTTGATTTAGCTCCTAATAATAGAATTTAAGTAAGCTAAGATGTAACTGTTATATCTCTTTGATGGGATTTGAGATTTGGTTTTTAGGAAAAATAAAAATAAAATTGTATTAAATATGTACCTTGATGCAGAAAGAGGTTTATTTATCATTTACATAGGGATAGATAATAAATTGCAAATGAGAAAAAATGTATTGTATACACCATTGTATTATTAAGTTTCTCATCATGGAATTGTTTATCGTAAAATATACAAATTACAGTGTTTTTATTACAGAGTTTTCTACCAAAATGCATGAATTGAAACATTTGAGTTGTCCATTCACATGGGATATGTCAAGTGTGACTTCTTATTCAGGAAGAATATTAAACCGCGAGAATGAAAGACTTTCCTATTGGATGGACGAAGATAACAATGATTTCAAAAATATTTCTATAATGAAATTAATGTTTTCCTTAATGACATCATATGAATACACTGAAGATGATAAGTTAGAAGAAGCAATAAAACAAATTGAAATCTCTGAACAAATTTTTATTGAACTTGTAAGGTAAAATTCAATGAACCATTAACTCTAAGACCAATGTGTAAAATATACTCCATTGATGATTTCAGTGCACCAAATAATATATCCATAAAGGCAGTGGATCATATTCTTAAAGGAACAAAATGCTTTATACTTGAAAGAATGAATAAATCTTCAGAGATAACAAGTATTTTTAAAACTTTTCACCTATGCCATCAAGATACAGTTGAATTAGGTACTTTATATGGATGCCGAGCTATAGCATGGTCATTTTATTTTGATGCTGGAGTTGTTGAAACTATAAGAAATTCTGAAAAAGCTATTAAACTAGACTCAAACAATGGACTGTGGCATTTCATTCTTGGTAAAGGTTTAAGGACAAAAAGAAAATGTTCTGGTTCTTATTCAAACCCAAGTGGAAGAGAACAAATGGCATTCCACAGTGCATTTATGTTACTTTGCAATGCATACATTGGTACATACCATGCACATACACAATATGAGTCAAAAAATTTAGTTGAGGCTAAAAACATATATACTATGATACTTTCTATGAAACCCAGTGAATATGATATTTATTTAAAATTAGCACTTGGGTTCATTCGTTTGAGAGAAAGTGACAAGGCTGATGTTTGTCTGAAACATTTAGAAGAAAAAGTTCCTTCTAATCCAAAATATCTCCACTATAAAGGACTATACCTTGAAAAATGTAAAAAGGATTCTGAGGTATGTTATTTAGGCTTATAATAGATTCATATTACATACCTTTCTAAATATACATGTGAGATTAAACACAACGTTCAGCAAGGCTGTGTTGTTATAAGTGCTCACCTGACAGTGATATTTGCTAAATTAAATGATGGCATAAAAATCCAACATCAATCATCAATATTGATTACATGTGATGCTTTATTCATTGTGCTAAAAAAGAGAGAAATACTATTTCATCTATGCTCTGTCATAATATACAGTAGGTATGGTTTAAGTTTATCTCATAGCACAATGAAAAATAATTCTTATTGATACGTCACCAAATGTCACTGGTTTAATGAGCACTGACAACATACACAACCTTACTAAATATTGTGTTTACTTCTATAAGTCTATCTGGCTGGGTTTAAATTGTATCTTTTTTATATAGGGAGCGTTGAAGTGTTTTAAAGAATGAGGATCATTATGTCTTTATACAGCAGATCTAACTTATTTAAATCTGAAGATGAAGATTACTAAAGGGAAATACAATCCTGTTGAATATATAACAAATATGTTACAAAGATATCAATTTTGCAGTTTTAAATTGCAATTAACATATCTGCAACTGGCATCATATTACAATATTTACCTCAAAGATGCAAGGAACTCATGCAAATATTACCTAAAAGCTATTGAACTGGGTCCAAAAAAGAACCTGTTGTTGGTAAATACTTCATATACATTCTTGTGTATAAACTTTACTTCTTCTGGTATTTTCTGTGATGTCACATCATTTTTAGCACTTTCAAGACTTCATGTATAATCCAAAAACTAACATCTATCATGTATTGAAAATGGACATAATACCAAAACTGAAATCAATTCAAGACCTCAATGAATCAACTTTTGAAATGATAAAACAGGCAGAAGAAGCTTACAAGGCATATCAGACACATATCACCGAAGATGCAAATGGAAAAATGACAGATAACTGATATATTTTATTACAATCATTCAATATGATTTATGCTTTTACGTCCTTGTCTTGATTATTCTGAATCTTTTTCTATGTATATTAAATAAATAAGAAACAAAGATATGTATACATATTGTATTAACTGCGTGATCCCCTTTAGCTTACAATAAACAAAACTTTGTATGAGCTTCGTCTTTTTGTGGAATTAAGGTATCTTCCGTCGAATCACGTCGAATGGACTATAGTCAAAGTTCCTCGCACCGATAGAACTGCACACAAAGTACTTATCCACCACTGTGGACACTATTCAAATCCTGGACCTATGGCTGTGTTCAGCAGAAACATTTCTGAGGGAGCAAACCTGTTCTTTGGTTATTTGATCGTTTATTTTGCAACAGTGTGAGATTTGACTAATTAAATGTATTTTTTTCCTCGGCAGTGTTTTTGCTGAATACAGCCTACGTATAACATTGTCAGAGAGTCTTTGGTCACGGGGGTTATGATTGAATTCATTTCCTTTTGGCTGCCTCCTCCAATGAGATATACCATTGTGTGATTTAAAGGACAAACTTCAACCATTAACACCATAGACAGAGCATTGAAACTCGAGTACGCATAGCATTTTTAAATTGGACGTCAGTAAACAGTAGGACATTGCCGATATAATTCGGATGTTTTCTGGGTGTTCTGTGTTGCGTAGGATACGATGACTAATGATATGCAAATACTGTACCTGTGAGCTATGTGTTATTTTTAATGAATTTCGTTTGGAAAATTTATATATTTCCATATAAACGTAATAGAATACGTTTAAGTAGTTACTCCGTGAAATAAAAATTGAAATATTGCATTTTTGCAGTATCTGTCAATGTAAGTTTTAACATTTGCAATCCAAAATCGGTTTCAGAAACCTCCAAAATCCTTGAAATATAAGAGTTCGCAAGACTTTGCGAGCGTACGAGGAATCTCGCCAGAAAGATGTCAGTAAACGCAGTTGTGGATTTTGTAAGATATGAAACCGAACGTCGTTAAAACGATTAAGCTTCTGAATTGGTACGTAAAAAGAGCTTTGTTATAATTGGAAAGGCACCTTGAAACAAAATAATGCTCTTTTAATGAGAAATTGATGACACTTGCATAGGGATGGTTCGCCTCTTGAAGGAGGTTTTTTCGAAAAACGCAGACATGTGTTCGGGGTTTCCACAAAGTCCGACAATGGAAAATAAAACCCTAGGGAAATATAACTAGTCGGCCATACATGCTAGGGAATTTCCCTCGTACCTGCTTGTTTTTTGAACGTTACAAAAAAAATAAAAACCCCTAAGTAGTAACCGTTTGTTGTGCTATTCGTCGTACAAGTTGGTCGTTCAAATTTGAAATAAAACCTCGTATATTCGAACAAACATTGAATTTCGTTATATCACTCCCACGAGAACCAACATGTATCTTCTACTTTTTTTAGCCGTTTCAAAATACAAATGGTTTCATTGAAATCGGAACGATAGTTTTTTTTTAAGTTTTGCAACTTCAACCCTTATCAATTTTTAATAATTTACCCCATAAGAACCGGACAAAATGCATTTTTCATTATCCGTCATAAGCATTAATCTCAAATTGGTTTCATTTAAATATCTCAACTGAAGATATGTATCTGAAACTGCAAAATTCGCACTAGAAGGCTCGACTTTAGGAGTTGATTTCACCTCTTAAAACAGTTTTCCCACAGATAGAAAAAAATACGTGTCGTCTGCCTTTTTATGCCATACAAATACAACATATTTGAGTTTTATCAAAATCCTAGGGGGACACTTTAGGGGTTGATTTCACCGCTTAAAACAGTTTTCCCACAGATAGAAAAAAATACGTGTCGTCTGCCTTTTTATGCCATACAAATACAACATATTTGAGTTTTATCAAAATCCTAAGGGGACATCTGAAATACTTTCCTTTTAAGCGTGAGGAAGTACAAAGTTTACATACCGAATCCGAACAGTGACTACGATTACACAAGCAAGGATTTTATAAAAGACTAGGGCAACACGCGCGCTACCGCGCGCGGCCGAAGGTCTGTTTGCGCTGCAGCGCTGTGAAAAGAACTATACCATCACACTGTACAATTGTACATAATTACGATCTGCTTGTTAAATCATGTATGGGCCAACCAATACCCATCAATGTTTGCGTGATCCAACCAATCACAGCCAGTTTCCGCAGTATCAATAGCTCGATTGGTGAATTCTGCTGAATCATCCGTTGTGATTGATTACAATATGTGCGTTAGCAAAGCATCTTTGCACTGTCCAATTGTGTATTACAAAATTAAGTAACTATAATTTAATCATTCAAATCGTGGAACGATCAATTAATATGAAAACAGCATTGGAGTTCTAAGCTATCTTAACCTTACCTAGCTATTTAGCATTGCATACTATTGTGTCGATATTATCACGACTAATTTTATAATGAAATGACTATGAGCATTAGCAATAATATAATAACGAACGCGTTGATGTTGTACCATCATGATCATGTACTCTAAAATGGAATTCACGCGGGAAGCTAATTATTTCAATTATAATTTAATTATTTCAATAGACACGAAAAGCTAGTCTTTTTAAAAGCAAAGAATATTTAAGGGTTTACATACTCACCTATTTTTTTCATAAACGACATCGTTTGTAATCACTTCTTTTATCAGAAAAAAAATAACCTACAACCTGTCATTCACGAGCAGATTCTATTCCACATTTTGTCGACTTACAAAAATAATGTCTGAACTGCAAAGAATAAATTTTTGCATACTTTTTTGCTATTACAAATTATTGTTAAGCTCTTTCGTTTTTTCATTTAATCCGCCGATCGAATTTTAAGAATGGAGAATTCCTCATATGTTATAGGGGGAAAAAAGTTAAACAGAATTGAACAATGAAACAACTATCAATATATGTATATCTTGAAGAATTTTGTACAAGATTTTAATTTGGATATAATATGTAGCACACATCAATTCGTGAACAGTCCGACATGTCCACTGATATGTAATTTAAACTATAAAAGTTATATGATATTCTGCACATCACAAAACATCTCATAGTAGTTTTCAACTTCGATTCAATATGTTCCATATGCTAAATATTGCAGACAAATTTGCTTGGTTCAGTTGATCCTTGGGCTTCCAAAATCGACGAAGAAAATCGTTTCTGTCGACTATATGGATTCGCAGAGTAACTCGGAGTTGTAAGTAGAAAAAATTATTTCCTGAAAAAGTGTGAAAACATCTTACGTTTAAAATATATTAAAATAATTTCATATGGCCTACATATGGCCCACGCATTCCTTTTTAACAACAGGAATATCACACGGATCCGATTATAAGCTATTGAGAAAAGTCTTACACAAGTCTGTTCGAAAACAGACTATTTTCTAACCGGTTTCTAGAAGTCTAAAAACGAACCGTACACCTGACTATGAACGATATGAGTATACTATGGACCCTTTGCCAAAATATTACAATAATTTTCCCCTCTCATTACTATCCAACGTGTCCTTTCCGTAATTCTATTCAGCCGACGGCGCCATATGGTTAGGGTGCTGTAAATCTGACCCGCGGAGCGGTACGACTCGTTTCGCTCAAAAGGTTGTAACTACCAGAATAATTCGAATTTTAACTTCAATCTGGGCTTAAAATATTTCTAATATGCTTTTCAAAATATATGCAAATAATCAAATTTTTGAAACCGAAAATGGTATGTGACCCTTTAAGGATATTTATGACTTAAAAATAATAATACAACACAGTGTACGGTAATATAGTTACACCTAACCCTCGATTTACGCTGTGGACTGGGTCCTTAAAAAATTACAATGAAAAGTCTATTTCATATAGACATGTAATTTTATTTCCGATAAATCCTTATGAGTTTACACGTAAATACAATTTTGAAATAAAAATATAGGTTTCCAGTCTAAATTAAATTTATTAATCGTGAAACATTCTTTCTCTCTTCTTCTCTCCTCTCTTTACCTCTGTTCATTATCGTCGCAGTTAAGTTTGGGCCAATTGTCAAGAGATGATGAAGATACAACTAGACGCGTTCTGTAAAGATACTTTACCACGTAGAACCGACTAGTATAAGACGGATAAACCGGAAAACCAGATCCCTCATTGGCCAAAACCGGGATAAGTTTTCCGTGATGCCCGAATTCTGATCAATCAGGGATCTGGTTTTCGAGTTATCCGTCTTATAAGAGTAGTCCATTTGAAATGGAAAGGTACCTTAAAAGCTCATTTGGACCGAAGACAGCGAGAAATGAGCACCGGACGATTGATTACAAAAATATATTCTATACTGTTTTATACTAGGTTGTCATATTAAAGTTACAAGAAACAGACCACATTACGTTTGTTATGTATGGGCCTGTATTCATAGTCGGTTCTTCGTCTTAAGCACGACCTTACTATGTATTATGTACTATGTCTTTCTCTACTATGTATTAAGATAGAGTATCTACGGTCATACGACTGTGCTTCGTCTCAAGCACTAACTGTGAATACGAGCCATAGAGTAAGTATTACACTCGAAAAATAGTAGTATACAATTATTGTTAAAATATATAAACTTATGATGCAGCGGATTCCTATTTATGGTTAGAGAATTTGAAAAGTTCAACGACGTTCAAGTTTTAGCAGCAGTATTACATTGATGAAGAGTTGGTAATTCTACGTGTAGGATATACGTAGTTAGTGCTTAAAGTCACTCTTAACATTTGGAATGTGTTTCGAAATTCATTGCCAGTACTGCATATACATATAGATGTAATGATTTGCATAAAAAAAATGTACCGTTGGTTACAGAACTTACAGTGAATTTTAAAGCATTACCTTCGATATCAAGTGGTCTTTGAGAAATCGAATTTATATTCATATCAATTCATATCGCCAGGTTCTATTCACCTAGAGGACCTAGACGAACAAATTACGAAATTCAGTTGCACGCACGTACTTTTTTTTCGATAGCGACTGCATAAGGCACTCTCACATAGGATTATGCCTAAAAATAATTACCGTTACATTATATGTATAATTAGATTACAAAATATTATAAAAATATGGTTTATACCATGAATGTTTGCATTCAGCCAATATATTTTCCTCGTGCTTAATCATCAAATCGAGGCCTATTATTCAATTAACAATAAACTTTTTTAGATTACTGGAATAATCCCAATATGAAACTAATATTAAAAACAGTCTACCAATCTAGTATTACTATTTGGGTACATTTATTTTCTCAGAACAATTTTTAACCAATGGCCATTTATAGGAATCGGCACGAAATTTCCTGGGCGAAATTTCATAGGTATGGTTGTTTTTTCACATGGTTTGAAGCTACACTGTGCCAATAAATGGAACAGGACTAATTTTATCTCCATCAGAGCGAATCTGTTACCAATGCAAGCTCTTGGTCCGAGGCCAAAAGATAAATGAACTGTTTGTCCAATTTTATTTTCGTTCAAAAATCTCTCGGGGTCAAACTTATTTGGATTATCATAATATCTAGAGTCATAATGAATTCCGTTAATGGGGATCAATACAGTGGTACCAGGTTTAATAATAACGGATTTAGCACCTGCTTTAGCTGGAGGAAGCTCGAAAGCTTTCGTGCATATTCTGTCCAATTCTGACTCCGCTGGATACATTCTTAATGTTTCATTCAAAACTGCATCGAGATACTGCATCTCTTTAAGATAATCGTACGTCACTTTGCCGTCGGACTTTTGAAGAACTTTATCGATTTCCGCTTGAAGTTTTTCTTGAATTTCAGGATTAGTAGCAAGTGCATAAGCAGCAAAGCTCAAAGTCCTAGACGTGGTATCAAAACCGGCAAAGAAAAATAAAAACGCCTGTGCTGTTATCTCCTCGACGGTCAAATTTTTTCCAGATTCTTTGGCCTGCATCATCAGCTGCAGCATATCGGGTCTGTGAATTCCTTGTGCTGTTCTCGTAGCAATAGTTGAGGAAATAATTTCCGTGAAGAAATTAGTGACACGCTGGTCAAGAAATCTTAATTTCAATATCCTGACTAATGTCGGGCACGTTTGAAAAAGAAATAGCTTAAATGATTGCATAAATCCAAAATGTGTTGCCTCTCTGCCCATTTTAAAAAACTCATTTTCACGATCCTTCATGGAATTCACGGATATTCCAAAGGCAACACTAGCAATTACGTCATTCGTGTATCTTGCAAAAGCATCTCTTATGTCGAAGACGATTGGTCCTTGTTTCATAACAATGTCTACGAAATCTGTAGCACAAGTCGATATCAAATCAAACATTATCTTCATTTTGCTCGATGTAAAAGCTGGACTTAGAAGAGCTCTCATTTCTCGCCATTTGTCACCGTTTAATGAGAAAAGATTTTTCATAACGAGTGGATCGAGTTCAGGGTCGCCGAAACGTTTGTGGTCCACGAAATGGTCAAAGTGTTTAATACCGATGTCTCTAATGAGTTCGAGATCACGTATCATAATAGCTGGCGAAGTAAAGTCATATATCCCAAAGTACTTGACATCTGGTTTGGAACCATAAAGGGACTGAATATGTTCTGAATATGACATCTGCTTAAAAATCACTGGTCCACGATTACCCACTATAATGTGTGAATTGACATAAGGAATTCCCATTGTCTCAAAGTAATTCTGATGTCGTTTCACGTAGATGTATAACACGGTAATAAATCCGACTGAAATTCCGACGGTCGTAAAATTCAACCAATCCAGAAATAATGCAGCCATCCTTTATATAGATTTGTCTAAATCTATTCGAATTAAATAAATTTCACAAGTAAGTTACACTTTTGTATTCCTAAACGATTATTTTTAGGTTAATTTGCATTTATTATACTTTCAAACGGTTTCCATACGTTAAGAACAAACTAAAAATAAATTTATGTCTTCAAACACAAATCTTTAATCAATTTCAGTTACTTATTGTGCCCGTGTTTTCAGCATCGCAATATGTTCTCAACTGGCGCAACAGAGCAGATTACTGCATTTTATATACGGATGGACGCACGTATTATACAGGGTGAATCACGAATCGTGATCAGTAGAGATTACTTTGTTATTAGCAGTCCGATCGAAAATGTTTTTATCGGTTTTTGCATGGTTTCAAGAGAGCTTTAACGTGATAGTAAAAAATTATTGGTCAACTCTTTCCTTAATGTTTTTTCAAGGTTACCTTGAATTTTTTGCAACTGAACATCTCATTTTTGTACGCCTGTCTGTTAGAGGATTTCAAGACGAACTCGGCACATGTAAGGACATGACATTTTTTTCATCTGGTTCGAAAGAA